CTGCTGGGCTCTTGGGGCTGGTGATGCTCCCCAAACACCTCCAGTACATGGCCATCACCTGCCTCGTACCTGGTTCTGCACTGGGACCCTGAGGAGGAGGAGCAGACATAGCCCCTCTGCCCACCCTGTAGGAGGTCAGGAGGCCTCTCTGGAGGAGGTGGATGGAGCCTCCCAAGAGCATAGCAAGGGTCATCCTGAACAGGAGTGGGGCCTGTACCAATGTCCATCTGCCAGGGCTGGTCAGCTCTGCCCCCTCCCTGAGGGCTCACCAGGACACAGTGTGCTGGCTGCTGGCACGTGGTTCTCTCTTGGCACAGAGGGGTGAGCGGGGCAGAGCTGCAGCTTCCTGATAAGATGAGGTGGATGACACGCTTCCTGCGGTGTCTCCTGACTCCTGTTTCTGTTAGGGGGAGTGGCACAGCAGCCATGTGGCCTGTATGCCCACAAGCTGGGAGGGGGCAGGACCAGGGCAGGCATTGAGATTCAGGCATCCCTGCCATCCCAGTGAGGGCAGCTCAGTCCCCTCCTTGCTGGGGGCCGCAGAGCAGCACTGTGCATAACAGTGTGCACACACACCTGCCCGTGCACAGGAGGGTGCACACACATGTGCCCACATGCACATACAGGCAGGTGTGCACACATACTCCCCCCAGGAGCCCGGCAGCCACAGTGGTGACATTGGCTCCCCCTTCTAGTGCAGATGTAGCTGCAGGGTTACCCCCAGGGCTGTCCATGGGCTGGGCAGACATCACAGCCCCAGAGCAGCGCTCAGAGTGACAGGCTGTCCTGCTGTCCACTGGGGCCCTTTAGGTCTGAGGGGTTCATGCCCTTGGCTGGCCCTGCACCTCTCTTGTGTCCAGCTGGCGTGGCTAGCTGTAAATCTCACAGGACAGTGACCCCACTGTGAGAGATGCAATGAGATATGCAGCACCAGGATTAAAACCTGGCATCGCAGGAGAGTGATTGGCCAGAGATACGCCCCTGCCGGGCCCTGTGACCCCGGGCCCCTGAGCACCTGACTCCTCGTCTCGCAGAGGACAAGATGAGTGTGTGGGAACCCGGGTGGGTGCTGGGGCATTGGCTAGCTGCTAGTGCCCATCTGCCCTGGGGAAAAGTCCTCAGCGGACACAGAGATGACATCAGCAAGGTCAAGAGCAAGGTCAAGGGGAAGCAGAGAAAGCTCTTCCAGGATGTGCAGGAACCGAGCATGGGGAACACCTGCAGGAGGTGCAGAGTGGGGGGTCTTAACAGCAGCAGGGGCTCTGCCCGCCCGACCCGAGTCCCAGCGTTCAGGAGTCGGTCCCAGCACCTTCCATGGTGGCACCAAGCCATCTTCAGGAGGCTCAAGAGTGGGCAGAGATCCTGCAACCTGGGTGCATGCTGTGCCCCAAGGATCCAACGTGGGCTCCCCAAGGAGCCAACTGGAGGTGCAGCTGAGAGTGGACGAGCTTCCCCCAGGCCAGCATCTGTGGTGGAGGGGTCCACAGGAAGGTGCCTGAAGCCAGGTGCTCACTCCTCAACTCTGCTGCCCACTCAAGGTGCTGGGTAGTGGCAGCCAGCTGGAAGTATGAACAGGCATGTGGCCTGGCAGCAGGTCCAGGCCAGGGTGGCTGGCTGCTTCTTGCCAGCCCCACAGTGGAGGAGGGCGGTCCTGGGGTGTCTTTGCCAGACTCCCGAAGTAGGCCCCCAGGTAGGAAAGGGCATCCAGCCTCAAAGCCAGGAGCCCAGAGCAGCCTGGCCCTGCCAGTCTTCCCTGCCATCACCAGCACAGCTGCCCAGGCCCTGTCTGTGCACCAGACACTGTGCTGGGCACCTGGGCCCAAGGGGAGTGAAGCAGGCTGGTCCCGGGGCCTGGCGGGCAGGTGACCAGGTCACCATGAGTGTCCCCTTGAGGAGACAGGGTGGGCTGCCCAGGGAGGTGACACAGGCAGGGGCCTTCAGGAGAACGGGGCCTGGTGTGGAGCAGCCAGGAGAGAATGGTCCAGGCCCAAGGGACTCCAAGGACAGTGGCCCTGAGGAAATCCAGGGAGGCCTGAAGGCCAGCGCACCCGGGGCCGGGGAGCCAGATCAGGGAGGCTGGGGTGGTGGCAAGACCGAGGGGCAGGCAGTGGACTTTTAGTCTGGGTACAGGGAGGACTCTGGGATTGTGACCAGGGCAGGACGTGTTCCAGACGAGTTTCTGGGTGCAGACTGGGGTTGGGGGACCAGGCTGGGGCAGAAGAGCCAGGCACAGCCCTGATGACACTGTCAATGCGAGGGGTCAGCCGCAGACCCCCACCCCGGGAGAGTGGGCCTGGGTCCACAGCCCTCCCCACTCGGCATGAGTTAGCCAGGAGGGGGAGGGAGCGGGTACAGTCCCGACTGAAGGGACCCAGGGACAAAGTCACCAAAATGAGAAACTGGCCACCGCCTGTGCAGAATGACAAACAATTTGGCGTTGCTGGAGCGTGACTGGCGGGCCCAGGCTGAGCGCAGGGACTGAGGGAGGCAGAGGCTGTGCCTGCTGGGTGTGGGGCAAGGCCCTGGAGACCCGCGGACACGGGTGGGAACAGGAGCAGCACTTGGGTCCTACCTGACCATGGGACGCTGACCGCAGCCCAGCCCAGCCCAGCCTTATCCCCACACTGTCCAGCGGGGCGCCATCTAGCTGAGATGGATATGGTCCCCCAGCAGGACGGCCCTTGGGGACCAAGAGGGTGCCCTGGGGGAGGCAGCATCAGGCAGAGCCCCCTCAAGGGAGCAGCACATCTGAGGATGAGGAGAAGGGACGTCAGGTCGTTCCCGGGGGAGGGACAGCATGGACAGAGGCATAGCGGTGGGCACAAAGCCCCACTCGGGATCTCAGGATGGTGGCAGCTCCCCGTCTGCCGGTGCTGGAGCCTTTCTCGCCCCTTTGCACTGTGGAGCAGCCAGAGCACAGCCGCGGGGATCCACAGGTGGCACAGCCTCCTACCTGATGGGGCACCATGGGGCGGGAGGACCACCAGCAGCGTCAGCCCCTGGTCCATGCCTGGTGCGCCCCACCTCAGGGCCTCAGCTTCTCCCCTCGGAGCCTCTCCAGGGTCCCTGAGGCAGGCTCCCCGAGGAGGACAGACATCTGCTAATGGGCCACCTCTGGCTGAGCGGAAGCCTGGCTCTGATGGGCAGCACATCCAGGCCTCCACGTGCCCACCTGAGGATGCTGTGTCCACCCGGGCAGCCACACTTGGGGCCCTGTCCATCCTTCTGCCCAGCAGAGGCAGGAAGAGAGCCTGTGCACCCAGCTGGGGTGACACCGGCCTGGTTGTCCCCAGCTGCTGCCACACTGACAGCTGGGAACAGCAGCAGGCAGGGGCAGGTGGTCCTCGCCTTTCCGGGGGACCCAGGGAAGGGCACTGGGGGGCAGGCCTGGGTGGACACATCCTCCTCTGACACTGCCCTGCCCCTGGGGGCTGTGGCCAACCTCCCTGGCCGCAGTCCTCACCCTAGGACAGGGTGGCTAATGGGCTTGGTAAGTGCACTGTGAGTGACCAGAGCCAGATCCTGGGCCACCTCATGGCCCAGTCAAGCCCCACCCCTTCCCTGGGCCTCAGTTTCCCCCAGGACCCACCCTTTGTCAACTCTGAGCTTCGACACTCTTCAGAAAGCTTGGCTACTAGAGGCTCCCTGCAGAGGGACTTGCAGGTGGGGTTGGGACTTGGAGAGGAGGGAAGAGGACACCTGAGGCCACGGCTGGCCTTGGTCAGGCCCCTGAGGCCACTGCTATTTCTGGCTGCTCTGGTGGGAGCACCCCGCCCAGCCACCCTCTGCGTCGTCGTGTGCCGAGGGGACCCTGGGACCAGACTCCTAAGTGCAGTCCAGCCACAGTCCAAGCCCTGCCTGACCCCACCCCACCCGCATCTCTGCCGGGCAGCTGGGGGAACTCGGGGCGAGGGGCTTCGTCCTCCAGATGAGGAAACGGGCTCATAGCAGGGGAGCGGGGCTTTCCTTGACCTCTGCTGCCCTCTCGGCCCATCAGAACAATGCGCGTGGCGACTTTCTTTCTGGTGCCAAAATGTGATCCTTAATAGTTTTTCCCCCTGCTTTTTCATCCGTGGAAAATATGACAAATCCCGAAACCTATAAAAATTTTTTCAATTACCCAGCGTCCTACCACCCAGGCATAACAAATGAACATTTCTCTCCTTCCATGATGGTCCGTGGCAGTTCTCCTAAATGGGATTACACCACCCGCTCTCCCAGCATGCACGTCTGCCTGAGTCTTTGGGCACCTCTGAAAGTCTGGTTCCTGGGCCAAGGTCGGAGCCTTGTGAACGGAACCAACCCGTCTCAGTGGCACCCCACGTCCCACTTCAGCCCCATGGCCAGCAAGGCTGCCCTGGTATCCCCACTGCCTGCACACGGGTCCCTAAGAGCTCATCAGCTGCCCCAAGTCTCAGGAAGGGACGGCCACCCAGCACACACGGGGCCCTAGAGGGTGTCCTGTTTCCTCCAGGCCCGTGACCCTCCCTGTACCTGTCTGCTGTCCAGCCCAGAAGGCTCCTGACCTCCCCCAAGTCCCTCAGTGTCCAGGACACTGCATCTCCCTGTCCCGCAGCCCCCTGGGTTTGGCACACCAGGAGCCACAGCCAGAGGGACCCAGTCCCTTGCACACCCTGGTGGAGTCAGGGAAGACCCCCCCCACCCCGGCTAAGGCAGTGGCTACAGGCCTGTGGGTGGGGACAGGACACCAAAGATGAGCCCCAGCAAGTGACTAGGGATCCGTCACAGGGAGACACGGTGCCACACATGAGCTCAGACAGAGCCTTCAGAGTGCCACCGGGGGCTGGCAGGTACCCAGGCAGGACCCCTTCCCCGGCTTCCGCACCCCATCTCTGGCATGCTGCAGGAAACAAGAGCTCCCCACCTCTCTTGGTCTCAGCCCAGGCTGCAGCTGGTCACCCCGCGGTGGGCCTGGCATAGCCCTGCCCCTCCCCATGTCGCCCACCTGCTCTGAGCAGCTCTGTCCTCTCCGCCCACAGGCTGCGCAGCCCCTGGGTGCCCTCGTGCCTCGGGCAGCCCCGAGTCCTGCCCGGCCGTCTGGCCAGGTCCTCACCCTCGCTCTGGGACAGGTAACACGCCTGTGTCTCCCTCCATTCCCCAGTGTCTGTGTCTGTTCCCAGACATCCATCTCATGTGTGTGTGAGACATGAGGGAGCTTGGAGAGGGCAGGGGTCTCTGTCCCCACATCCAGCCGTGTCCTTGGGCTCAGGCTCCCCTGAGGGTCCCTGGGGGAGAAGGAGACCCTTCAGACCCCCTGCGTTCAGCGTGGCCGTCCAGGGCTCCCCAGGGGCAGGGAGAGGACCAGGACACACACACTGTCAGGGTGGGGCCAGGTCCCACCTTGATTCCCAGATCAGTGAGTGGCCCCAGCCCCCAGCCCCACGCTAGCCCCCATCAGGTAAGGAGCTGCCCTGGACCTGGGACCCCCAGCTCAGGACACGTGCCAGTCCATATTCTCGCCCGAGGCCCTACACCTTGGACCCCAGCAACTTCCCCAGGTCACCAGTGGCCTGGTGGCCCTGCTGCCACACAGTGCCACCTCCAACATCAGCCTTTGCGCTGGGCAGCTCTAGCGCCCACGTAGCGCAGGGACCAGTGACAGCCTCCTCCCCTTGACAGCGCCACTCCACGTTACAGATGGACAGAGGGCACAGGCAGGTGGGCTTGGCGAGGGCCCTGGAGGGAAGCGTGCTGGACCCAGGTGACCTCCCAGAGCACTCCCTGTCCAGAGCTTCTGACATGCTGAGACCCTAGGACTTTGTGACCGGCTTTGAGGGGACGGGGCAGTCTCTACAGCTTTGGGGGAGGGGTGTTGTGGGCAGACAGGGTGTGCTGGGGCACAGCCCTAAGGGCTGTGGGGGCGTGGCCCTGGGATCCAGAGTGGGCATGGTCCTGAGGGCTGTGCTTGAGGGGGCTCGGTCGAGTTTGAGAATGGGATGGCCAGGTGTCCAGGGGGTGGCAGCTGGACCTGAGGCTAAGGGAGGCCGAAGCTGGTGTTAAGGCCTGGGCGGGGTCACTACGTGGCCGGATGTGGAGGAGGCTTGGCCTCTGAGGTGACAGAAGTGCTGGGGCGAACCAGGCGAGGTCTGCAGCGGTGACAGGGCCAGAATGTGGGGAAGACACGGTGAAGACACCGAAGACACCGGTGGGGGCGAGCCTGGGGCTCAGCAGTGACTGAGGACGGGAGAGGGTTGGGGACTGTATTTGAAGGCCGGTGAAGAAGTGTGTCTGCAAGGGTAAACTGTCCCTTGAGTGAGTCCTTGCTGGCCGCCCTAGTGAGTAGGCTCCTCCCCCTCTCCAGTGTCGGCTCCCTGGGTGGGCTGGGGGCCCCCGGTACCTGCCGGGAGGACCCAGGACTGGAGAGGGCGGGTGGGGGAGGGAGTGGTGGCAGTGGACGCGCTGTAGAGGACACAGCGGTGGAAGCAGGGTCCGAGCTGGGAGTGGGTAGGCGGAGAAGGGAAGCCACCGGGGTGCCCCAGGGAAAGGGGGCCCCTGAACGGGCAGGGCCGGGGGAGGGGCGGCAGGCAGAAGGCTCAGAGGGCCTGGGCTGTGGCTGGCACCAGCCTCGGGCGCAGGGCGGAGCGGGGCAGCGGGAGGGCCGCCTGGAGGGGCAGCAGAGCTCCCCGCGGTCCAAGTGGGCAGCTGGCGCGCCTGCCTGGGGCTTCCCTTGTTACTCTGCATCCTCTGTGGGGAATTGACTCTTGGGAGGACCCGCCCCGCCCTTCCCAAGATTCTCAAAAAATGTAAGCAACTCTTTATTTTTATTTATTTTTTAAAATATAGACCTGGGCAGGTATCCAAGAATGCTTCATTGAGGTTTGCTGGGAGGGTGCCCGCAGTGCCACGTGTCATTTGCTCACAGGGCCTCAACCTGGGGACACCTCTGACAGAGGGAAGGGACCCCTCACTCAGGTGTGGGCCCAGCGTCCCGCAGCACACGGCAAGGGTCTCCCGCATGGCGCTCTGCAGGCCTCCTGCCTGCCCAGTCCGAGTGCGCGCTGTGCACCCCACGTCCCTTGTGCACGGCAAACCCACCAGAAACCACCAGCCAGGAGGTCCCCACACTGACCCAGGCTCGGGATGGGTGGCCCCTCGCCCCTGCCCCATACCCAGTTCCAGTTCAAGAGACTCAGGGTGAAGGAACCCCACCCTGTGGGAGATACGGGGAGGCTTTCAGAGGAAGGCGGAGCGGGGCTGGTGCGGTGAGCCTCCTGACCCCGGGGACCCTGCCTGGGCTTGGGCTCACGGAGGACCCAGCCCTCAACCGAGGCGCCACTGTGTGCTGTGACTGCTGGCCGTGGACAGGGCCTGGTGCTGAAAAGGAGCAAAGCCGGGTCCCCTGGGCTCGGAGTGCGCCTTCACCATGCGGTGGCAGGGTTCTGAGGCCAGTGCCCCAAGGGGACCTCGCAGTAAGGACACCAGTGCAGGGTGGACCTGGCCACACTGGGCATCAGAGGCCCTGCCTCCTAGGGGGCCATCTGTCCCGAGGACAGCCACCTCGAGAGGAGTGTGTGTGTGTGTGTGTGTGCGCGTGCGCGCGCAGGTGCGTGTCAGTGCACCCGGTGGTTTGCAGGGTGCGCACCACAGCGCGCCCAGGTGGCCCACACGGGCCACAGGTTCCCCGCGCTCAGTGCCCCGGTCCGGGCCGACCCTGCATATCGTTGCAGCGCGCTGCAGGAGCAGAAGGGCGAGCTGCGCAAGCGGCTGTCCTACACCACGCACAAGCTGGAGAAGCTGGAGACCGAGTTCGACTCCACACGCCACTTCCTGGAGATTGAGCTGCGGCGCGCGCAGGAGGAGCTGGAGAAAGTCACGGAGAAGCTGCGCCGGTGAGGGGCGGGGCGGGCCGGGCGGGCGGCGGACAGACCCACGCAGAGCCGGGGTCCTGCTTGGCCTGTGTGACCCCATTTGCAGATAGGGACCTCAAAATCAGCCTTCGTGCTAAGACGGGAGCCTAGGGTGGGCCGCGGCCAGGCTCCTCCCAGCGCGCCCTCCAGACCCGGCTCCAGGCCCTGCTCTCATTTTCAGTGTGGCAGCAGCATGTCACCTAGGCGGCCCACCAGCGTCCACCCAGTGAGAGGAGCCAGAGTTAGCCACTGTCCCTTGAGGGGCGCGGAGGCTAATGAAGCCCTGAAGTACCAGATCACCTTAAAAACCAGATTTTTCTAAAAAAAATTTTTTTTCATCACATTTAAGATGGATATTTTTCTAAAACATATTACATGCTTTCTTGTCTTCTTAAAGAGAATGCAAATTTTGCTGTTGATTTAGTTCATTTCAAATATTTATAGAGTACCAGCTGGTGCTGCCCAAGAGGACCTGCCGGGAGGGCTGTTTGGCCCTCCCCGAGCAGCCCCAGCCTGCTGGGCTTTTTGCATGTTACCGCCAGACGCTGTGGAGCCCAAGCTTGGCCCACACAGCCAGAGCTCAGTGAGGTTCCCGCTCTGCTGCGTACGCCCTTAGGCGCTTTTTGTGTCTGTTTCCTGACTAGCAAGACAGGACAGTAACCCTACACCACGGCTGTCCAGCGGACAGACATTGGCCTCAGCATGGATTCCCACCTGACAGGGAGTCTTTGTCCCTGTTAGGTCTCTGGCACTCCCTCTAATGTGCGACTGAACCGCACAGCCCAAGCCAGGCTTGTCAGAGCGCCGTGTGAGGTGTGAGTGGCCTGGTGAGCGAGAAGAGCCCAACAGTCTCCTGTGAATAGAAAAGCGAGCTTTCTGAGTCACCTCCAAGGAGCCCTGCTGGGAGTGGGGCCAACGGCACGGCCCTACACCTCGGTCCAGGAAGCCTGGGGGAGGTAGCTTGCATTGGGAGCACCTGTACAGGCCCAGGCTGGGCTGGGGGAGCACAGGGTGCTGCGGTCCCACCCCAACACTCTGTGGCCATGTGGCCCCAAGGGTCATGGGAAGGTCGGCTTTGTTCAGCCGTGGACCCCACTGCCTCCTGCTGCAGGATTCAGACCAACTACATGGCGCTGCAGAGGATCAACCAGGAGCTGGAGGACAAGCTGTACCGCATGGTAAGGCCACCCGAGGCCACACCCCACCCATCCTCAGTCCTCCAGCACATTATTCCTAGGTACCAGTAGTGGGCACTGGCCTCTGACCACCTCCTTCTGCTGCCCCCGTCCTCCAGGGTCAGCACTATGAGGAAGAGAAACGTGCACTGAGCCACGAGATTGTCGCCCTCAACAGCCACCTGCTGGAGGCCAAGGTGACCATCGACAAGCTGTCAGAGGACAACGTGAGTGCCAAGGCATTTGCCCACGGAGGGCACCAGGCATATGCCAGCAATCAGGGGCAGGCAGGGTGGTTCTGACTGGGGCGCTTCTGCCCCCGCATGGCACAGGGGACAGGGCAATGGATGGGACAGTCAGGACTTCAGGGCAGGCCGGCGTCCTCAAGGTGATGCTACCAGGGCTTCCAGCAGCCCCCTGCTGGAAGGACTTCAGCCAGAACTCAAAGCTGTGTTGTCCAACACCAAGCGACACTGCCTGACTCCAGGGTAGGGCATGGCCACTCAGGCCTCCTGCCCTGGGCCAGCCCAGAGTCACCTGGAACCTGTGCCACCCACAAGCCTGGACCCCGTGAGGTGGCCTCTACACTTCAGGGACCCTGGCAGCTGAAGGAGCTTCCCTAAGAAGCGTGGCTCCTAGATGATGGTGTGAACAACACCTGCCCAAATGAAAAAGAATCCTGCCCACATGAGTTACAACTGAGCGGGGAAGACAGTAAAGCAGGTGAGCCCACAAAGTGCAGTGCTTCAGAAATGCTGAGCACTGGAGGCAGCAGTAAAGCAAGGAGCAGTGCCAGGGAGGTGCCAGCCACCGGGTCTGCAAGTTCCACCGGGGCACTGCTGAAAGAGGCTGAGGGCCAAGGGGACCTGGCCACGAAGATGTCTGGGGTGGAGCATTTCTTCCAGGCTGGAAGGACGCAGGGCCAAGGGCTGCCTGGGAAGCTTAGAGAGTAGCAAAGAGGCCGCGGAAGCCCCCGCGCCTCGAGGCCATGCTGGGCGGGCTCCTGTCAGGAAGCAGGCTTCATTCTGACGGAAACCAGCTCCTGGCGGTCCTGAGCAGAGAGGCGTGTGAGTGACTGCACTCATAGCTTTACTGGCTGTCACGCTGTGCAAAGACAGACTGCAGGGGCACGGGGCAGGGCCGCAGCCAAGTGCAAGGCAAGGGCAGGCTGGTGGCCATGGAAGTGGGAGAAGCATGGGGATTCGGGTTGTACTTCGAAGACAGAACCGAGAGGGCCGGCCGAGATTTGGGCTTTGGAGGAAGAGACGAGTCCGGCCCGGTCAACAGGCTGGAACCAGCCCACAAGCCTGAGAGGGAGCAGCAGGGCAGGGTGGGGGCGGCAGGCTGTGTGGTGGCTCGCAGCCAGCTGGTGCCCGGGCACAGAGAAGGGACCTGGAGGTTGGCAGCTGAGTGGAATGGGCCCTGCTAACCAAGGTGACGAGCTCCCCGGCACGGAGACTCCTGCAAAGAGTGATGTGCAGAAGGCTCATGCTCCTCCTTGGGACCAGACATTTTCCCTGGTGGGGCAAGACCCTTGCCGTTACTCTCGGCCAACTGCACAGACAGTGCTCATGAGGAACGGCACAGCCAGCTCGGCGATCTCCCAGCTCACCCTATGGTCACTCGCAGGCAGAGCCACAATCTGAACTCAGGTCTGTCCGATTCCTTTCTGCGGCACAGGGCTGAGCCTCCAGAGCTCTTCCCTCCACCTGATCCTGCCTGCAGCAGCCCCATGAGCACTTCCTCCCTGGGGCCAGAACCTCAGGCCCCTCGGGAAGGTCCCTGGAAGTCCTAAACCTGACAGCCGCAGACATGGACAGCCCAGGGGCTCTGGCACCAGCCCAGGGCCTTGGACACTGTGGCATCTTCCCCTGGGGCCATGTGTGGAATGGAAACTGTCCAGGGCCACCCACTCCCCCCAGTGGCATTGCCTACTGGCTGTGACTGTGGAGCTGGCTGGGCAGTGCTCACGCCATCTGGTGCCTGTGGCCAGTTTGCTGTCAGCCAGCTGTGCTGTCCCTGGGAGGCCTAGGTACCCAGGTTCCTTCCACCCTGCTGGGCAGTGCAAGGGGTGGTGGCTGGAGCAGAGAGGAGCCACAGAACATCCAGTCCCAATGGGCTGGGACCATGGCACAGTCCCAAGTCGGGAGCGCATGCAGGGTGATGCAGGTGGCCCCAGGCCTGCCTGTGTGCACTCCCTGGAGAGGGTGCAAATGCCCATACAACCACAGGCACATGCAACAGAGATTTTCAAAGATCAATCTAACCCCCTTGATGGATCCTACTGTTTGCATCTGTTTTCGGCTCAGAGGCTGAGCAGTCCCTGCCTGAACCCAGGGTCACATACTTGCCCACCCCTGCCCAGCCCCAATGCCAGGCCGCCCAGTGCGAGTGGGTGTAGGGCTGGGGTGGCAGGGGATGGGGCTCATCCCTGTCCCTCTTTGGTCCCTCTCTGGTGGAACCGGGAGCCCAGACCAGGTGGGTGAGGGGGCGGGGCCTTTCTTCTGCCCAGCCCCCGCCCAGTAGCCAGTCCCAGGAAACCTGGGCAGCCACAGGACCGGCTGCCTGGCAGGTCCAGCTCCAGGTCAGGACAGACCCTCAACTGTGAGCAGTGTGAAGCCAGAAAGGAACAGGCCGCTTGTCGCCCTGGTCCTGCCAGCCAAGCAGCGGGCTCTGCCCCCTCCCGTTGCCTGCCGGCCCCTGGGCACTGGCTGGGCGCAGGACCTGGCCTCGAGTGGTGCCAACGCCTTCTCTTTCTTCCAGGAGCTCTATAGGAAGGACTGCAATCTAGCGGCCCAGCTGCTGCAGTGCAGCCAGACCTACGGCAGGGTCCATAAGGTGTCCGAGGTAACGTGACCCCACCCCACAGCCAGGCCCACCCTGCCCCAGGACACTGTGGGCTCCTTTCGGGCTGGCTCCACCCTAAGGCCACTCCCCACCCTTGAGGAGGAAGATGCCGGTGAGCCTGAGCCCCTTGTCCCTCCTCACCCCCGGGTCCTGGCCTTTCTGACAGTGGTGGCCTCAATGGGCCTGGATAGCCAGTGGCCTCCGTCGCCCACCCAAGCTGCCCATAGCCCTGCATTTCCTCCTTGACTCCGGGTGCACCTCACAGCAGCCTGAGGTCTGGGCACAATTACACATGGTCCCATTTCTGAGAAGAAGCGGCAGGAAAGGGGGCTTGGCCTGGGCCCAGGCCGGCCACACAGCCTGCACTCAGCCTGGAACCAGAGCAGGACCCACTGGCCCAACTGCGGTCACCTCAAGAGCTCCAGGAAGCCCTTCCAGCCAGGCCTACCCCACCCAGTCACCCACCCCAGGCTCTGTCCCTGGTCCCCTTTCCTGGGCATGGGCCATCCCTGAGACACTCATAAAATAGATCAAACAGTAGCGCAACATCCCCCGTGTGGCACCAGGTGCCCGTGTGGAAACCACAGGGCACCTGGCCCTCGCCCCTCAATCTTTGTTGCATGTGTTCCTGAGTCTGTTTTGTTCAGCAGTGGGGCCCGGGTGGGGAATCCAGGCTGGGAGAGCAGATGAGCCCCCCGCTGGGCAGCAGCTGGGACAGGTGGCTCAGCCGGCTCCATCGGCGTGGGGTGGGGTGGGTCAAGGTGTCTGGGGATCCGCAGGAGCCAGCAGCACCCCCAGGTGTGCCAAGACCACCCCGGGAGCCCCCTCGTCTGTCTGTGTGTCCGTCTGCCTGCCTGTCCATCACGCTGGCGATGGTCCTCAGCGCAGGGCCTCGGCTGGGCCACCTGCTGACTCTGACCATCCCCCTTGCCCCACGCCCCTTGCAGCTGCCCTCGGACTTCCAGGAGCGCGTGAGCCTGCACCTGGAGAAGCACGGCCGCAGCCTGCCCTCCCCGCTCTGCCGCCCGGCCTACGCCGACAGTGTCCCCACCTGCGTCATCGCCAAGGTGCTGGAGAAGCCCGACCCCGCCAGCCTGTCCTCCCACTTGTCGGATGCCTCAGCCCGCGACCTGGCCTTCCGCGACAGCGTGGACACGTCAGACCCGCGGTCCCCGTACAAGGAGGACGTCTGCTGCGGTGAATCGGCCCTCTACCACCCCAAGGAGCCGGAGCTCGACCAGCGGCCCAGCATGGACGCACCCGGGGCCGACGTGGGCTTCCTGCAGGCCCAGAATTCCACCGACAGCACAGCCGAGGAGGAGGAGGAGGAGGAGGGGGCCGAGGCAGCGGCCTTCTCCACCAGCTTCCGCCACGATGCCTTCCCGGGCTACGCGGGCTCGCTCCCCACGTCCAGCTCCTACTCCAGCTTCAGCGCCACTTCCGAGGAGAAGGAGCATGCGCAGGCCAGCACGCTCACCGCCTCGCAGCAGGCTATCTACCTGCGGAGCCGCGACGAGCTCTTCAGCCGCAAGCTGCCCACCTACGAGAGCGGCCCCCGCTTCGCCAAGGCGGCAGCCGCGATGGCCTCCCCACTCGAGGCCGAGGTGGCCCCTGGGTTCTCTGGAACAACGTCCCCGTACCCGACCGAGTCTTTCCGATTCCCGGCCTCCCTGGGCCCCCAGCAGGCCCTGATGCCCCCGAACCTGTGGAGCCTGCGTGCCAAGCCGGGGTCCGCCCGGCTCTCCAGGGATGATATGCGGGCCCACTGGCGGCCCCTGAGCGTCGAGGACATCGGTGCCTACTCCTTCCCGGCTGCCACCGCAGGCCGCGGCTCCCCCCGCAGCTTCTCCGAACGCTACTACGGTGGCAGCATGAGCAGCCCGGGCCGGAAGGCCGAGGGCCGTGGCAGCCCCCTCTACGCGAGCTACAAGGCCGACAGCTTCTCCGAGGGGGACGAGCTCTCCCAGGCCCACCTGGCAGAGCCCTGCTTCCTCCGGGCGGGCAGTGGCCTGAGCCTCAGTCCCAGCCACTCTGCCGACCCTCTCCCCAGCTACGAGCCCAGCAACAGGGACGGGGACAGGCTCGGGGTGCAGCTGTGCGGGGCGGGCAGCAGCCCTGAGCCCGAGCACGGCTCCAGGGAGTCTTTGGAGCCCAGTTCCATGGAGGCCTCGCCGGAGATGCGCCCCGCCGCCCGCCCAGGGCCCCAGCAGGCCTTCCCGCGGACTGGCAGCTCCGGGCTGAGCCGCAAGGACAGCCTGACCAAGGCCCAGCTCTACGGAACGCTGCTCAACTGAGCGCTCTGCCAACCCCGCCCGCCCAGTGTGGCGCCCAGGGGGCGACCTCCCGCCCCACACCCAGCCCCTGCAACAGGATCGCCCGTGCCCGCAGACAACCCCTCTGCACCCAGCCCGTGTAGCCCGAGAGGAGGCCCCTCACCCACATCGTCTGTCCCTAGCCCTGCCCTGCAGACCCGCGTAGAACCTTCCCGCACCCCAGCGTCCCCCTGCCCAAGGTGAGCAACCCCCCTTTTGTAAGGTGAAACTATTTTTATAGAGACAAAGGGTCTTTCAGCACCCTTACCCTCCAGCCCCCTGGACGGTGGCCTTGGTGTTTTCAACACAAAGCTCCTTTCTTTTTCCAGTGAGGGTGCATGGGGTCTGACCCCAGGAGGGGACACACCAGACTCCAGTGGTGGGGAGACACCCAGTGAGCCAGCAGCAAGGGGACCCTGAAGCTCTGTCCACAAGAGGGGAAGCAAACCCAGTAGAGTAGAGGAAATGTTTTGAAACCCATCATCCCCGTGCGGCCAGCACACCCCACACGCACTCTTCCGCGCCCGTATCCCGAGGGGGCCTGGATGATGCCCCGTACGGCCGGTGCTCACCGCCCCAATCCCCTGACCCCACTGTACTCTACCTCAGACCCGTGAGGCCCTGCCCCTGCCCTCCCCTCTCTGTGATGCATGCCCATCCAGTAAGTGCTGTATTTTGCACTCGTTAATAAAGGTACCAGTGGAAAGAATCTGCCTTTGGTTTGCTTCTTCTCCCTGCTGCCGTGGGTCCCAGAGAGACGGCACTTGGGGTCCCACCACTCTGACTGGCAGTAGAGCCCTTGCCCGTCGTCTGAGCTCCTCCTGTCCTCTCAGTGTCCCTCGTGCCATCCGCCCGCTTGGCCACCCCCTCATTCTTACACCCAGACTTCCCTTCCACCCCAAGTACGTTCCTCAGATCTCTCCAGGGTGGGTCTGCTGGCCGCAAGCTGTCTTGTGTTTATCGCTCTGGAAATGTCTGCACTTTGTCCCCTGTTCCAGTGTGAGCTGCAGGGACAGAATGGTGCCGGTCTTTCCCAGCACCCCAACTTCTTGCCGGCATGGGTGCTGCTCACTCCTCCAGGGTCATCTGTCTCTTTTCCTCTGGCTGTTTCAAGCTTTGCTTTGACTTAGTTTTCTGCAGTGTCCCCAAAGTGTCTGGGTATGGGGTCCCTTTTTAGGGTTCACAGGGAGTCTTCTATCTGGTTGGTGGATTTCATCCATTCTGGAAAATCTTCAACTATTACTTTTTAAAAACACTTCTCTGCCCATCAGACCTGGGACAGACCCCTGAGGCTGTGTCCTGTTCCTCTTCTACTTCCTCTTCAGTATCTCCCTGATTTTGTCTCACCCTGCCACTATGGCATGACCCATCTTCCAATTCACTCATTCTCTGCTGCTGCCGCGTTCATTCTGCTGCCAAACCTAGCCATGGAGGTTGTGTGCTTCAGCTGTTAACTTTTCCGTTTCTAGTGCTGTTCCTGTGGCTTCCTGGCCTTTGGAGCTCTTTCCCAGCTCCTGTCTGACTTTCGGGAAGATGGGGCACAGCCTAGATCCCCTCCTTCCCTGGTGTGGAGTCTGGGGCTGCTCCCTCAGTTCCTGCTGGCGTCACCTTCTGTGTGCCTCTGTGACACGAGTGGCCTGGAAACACATTTGTGGTTCTGCAAGGCCTGGGCAGAGCCCCCTCCTCTGGGGAGCCTTACACCTGCTCCCTCCAGGCACCCTGGGGACCACCCTGGCCCTGGTTCATGCCCTGAAGCTTGCCTGGGCTGCAGGTGCCATGGTTCCTGAGCACTTGGGCCTCAGGCCCCTGCCAGGGCTGTTGGGGACTGCAGTAGGGAGGCTGCCTTTGTCCCCAAGTGTCCTAGCCTCGAAGCTGGCTCACAGGACCCTGGGACTCAAGTGCTTGGAGCTCTGGTCCACAGCGCTTCTCTCCCACAACCCCCTGGGCTGGGGCTCAGTGCTCCCCTGGCTCTCCAGGCTGCAGCCAGCTGTCCAGCTGCATCAGCCACGGAGACCTGGCTGTGCCACAGCGTTTGGGTAGAGGGCAGAGGCAATGTCACACTAGGCTCATGCCTGAGACATATGGCCCCTGGCAGCCAAACAGAGGTGGCTCTTTGCTGTTCTAGGGGAAAGGGACGGGTCAGAGGGAGAGGCTGTGCTGGGTGCTGAAGGATGAGTAGGAGCTTATCAGGTAATTCAGCCAACGGGAACAGAGGACTTCGGGGCATCGTCCAGGGCTCCCAGGTACCCCCTGTGACTTAGCCCTCAGTTTCCCTCTGGATCAGCCCTCAGATGCCGTGGACCTGTTACCACCGCTGGACAGTCGCCCTGGCAGGCCCCTCTACCTTGGCGAGCCCCGTCCGGGCATCCGCCACCCCCATTCGTCCCCACCCACCTCTCCTCAGGCCCCAGGTAGCCATGTCCCCCTGGGAAGTACTAGGGGCTCCTGCGGGCCACTCAGAACAAAAGTCGTAGCCATGCCTGGCACACAAGACAGCAGTTGGCACACAGAGCCTGTGCAGGCGCCAGGCACGCAATGAAGCTGTCTTTCTCCCGCGGCAGCCTCAGCGGTGGCATTTCAGGTTCTGAAGGTAGGACCGAGGTGAGCACGGCCCAGGAAGGTGGGTGGAGGGGGAGCCCGTACTTCTTCACTCCCGCGTCACATTTTCTAAGTTTAGCCTTCTTATTTTAAAATTGCAAATGGTGAACTCCCCAACACCTTGCCAAGGATCAAAGTCGTCTTTACAAATGCTCTTCAGAAGAGCGCCTTTGAGAGAGGCAGGCAGGATGCACAGCAGCCAGCCGCACTTCCCGGAGAACAGCCCAGCCAGCGGAGTGGCAGTGGGGCCCTGGGGAGCCCAGGAGGGTCAGGGATACAGGTCAGCTGGGAGGAAACAGGCCTCAGAGCCAAGTGCAGGTCACAGGGTAACAACCTACAACGCACTCTGCATCATCTCCCTGCACAGCCCCACCGGCCTGCTTTATAGGTAAGAAAACCACGGCTGCGAGAAGCAATGCCCCAGGCAAGCGAGCACGGGGCCTGGAAGCTGAGCTGGCACTGGGGACGGAGGAGCCAGCCCAGGAGAGGCCCAGCAGGGACGGGCAGCCATGCACACCTTGTTCTCACCTGACTGAGGACAGCTGCAAAGGATGCTCACAGCTGCTCAGTGGTGACGCTGCGCATGGGGCAGGGGAACGTAAGCAGTGACACTCCTGGGAAGCGGGGGAGATCCTGGGCTGGTGCAGGGCTAAGTGGGGCATCTGGAACGGGAGCTAGGGCCACCCGAAGGGGTCTGGGAGCATTCACACAGCATTCATTCCCTGCACAGATGCGAGGGCCAGGCCTTGTCAGCGTACGCACGGGACACCCTCCTTCCAGTGGGCTTCCACTGCCTCTGCCCCCATCCTGGCGGGGGCTCTTGGGCTTTGGGCTGCGCCTGGGTTTCAGTCCTGGGCTCTGGGGTCTTCTGGCTTCCTCCTGGCACGGCCCCCAGAGGCTCTGCAGGGGCCCAGTGCCTCCACGGGGCTCCTTCCCGGGACAGACACTATGCAGGGCCGCGGGGACAGCACCAGGCAGCAAGCAGGGGGCCACCCAGAGGGGGCACATCACTCTACCCTGCAGCACCATGAACCCCAGGTCCCAGTGGTCACACTGCACTGGGAGGACGGGGCCCTGGGATCCGCAAGGCAACTGCTCACCTCGAGCTCCGCCTGGGAGCCGAGCAGCAGAGGCAGCTGTGACTTCACACTGGTGACTGAGACAACCCAAGAAACAGCACAACACGTATCCACTGGGCCGCACAGCCTCCCGGCAGGTGCTTTCATTCACGCAGCCCTCACAACCCTGAGACAAACAGGTTCCTGTCCCGGTTACAGAGGAGGAAACTGAGGCAGCCTATGCCAAGGTCTGACCCAAAGTTCTCTTCGGTGCTGGCTTGCACTCCCTCCCAGCCAGGCCAGGCCGGCCTCAGTGCCAGATCTTGATGTCACCTCCCCAGGAGCAGGTGCCAAGGACAGAGGGCAGCACGGGGTGGTAGGTGGTGCCCACGCAGGCCTGTGTGTGTCCCTGCAGCGTGCACGCCCGGCTGGCAGTGCGGAAACTGAACATCAGGACCCGGCCATCAGCACTGCCTGTCACCAGCAGGTCACCACAGGGGGAGCACTCACAACCCACGGCGTAGCCTTCCACCTGCGGGGGACACAGATGCTGAGCAGGCCTCACATGTTCAAGGCTCTGGGGGCACAGGGGTGAGACCCAGCTCTGCAGAGGAACGGGCTCCGCAGCAGGAGCTGGCTGGAGCAGGCCCAGCACAGTGACGGTCACTGAGTCCCCAGCCCCCTCTGCCTGGCATGCGGGCCTCAGACAGGAAAGGGCGGACCTCCTCCCATCCCCACCCATGGCCTAACTGTGTAAGCTGGCCCAACATTCTCCTGCCCAGCGGCTGGGAACAGGGTGTGCCCAGGTCTTGAGCAGACAGCAGTCAACTCTGAGACAAAGCAGAGGCCACCCCCATTCCCTGCACCGCCAGCCCTCGGTGGCTCTGAGGCCAGGGCTCAGCGTCTGCCCTGGGGACAGGACGGGTACCTTGTGCCCTTCGTAGCGCCGCCGTCTGCTCATCCGGTAGGGCCACACAGCAGAGAAGAGGGCCAGGTAGTTGCCGTTGGTCTGCGCCAGGAACACGGGCTCCCGCGGGTGCAGGGCAAGGCTGGGGCAGGTGTACCTCTCCTGGGGGACAGGGGACAGGGCTCAGAGCAGGCTCCACTGGGGGTGTCTCCATCCACAGGCACCCGGGCCACACTCTGCACTTTGCCTTAGGGGTTTCTATGAGTTTCCCTGGCTGCCGTAACCAATTCCCACACACTTAGTGGCTCAACGCGGCACATGTTCATTATCACGCAGCTATGGAGGTCAGAAGTGTGACATGGGTCTCACTGCACTAAAATTAGGGTATCAGCAGGGATGGTGGGGTCTTGATTTCGTGCTCTTGTCTAGTCTAGACTCCATAAGTCACCTGCAATCCTCATCAGAGGCTGAAAAATGGTCCCCAAAATATATCCATGTCCTAATCCTGAGGCCAGTGAATGTGACCTAATAAAGACAACAAAAGGGTCACCCAGATAGGATTAACTTAAGGATCTTGGGAGGAGATGACCCTGTATTATGGCCCCAAATGCAATCACCCCCAAAGTGAGGAGCAGACAGCCCCAGCACACACAGCAAGGCCACGTGCACCGGAAGCTTGGCGTGGAGGTGCTGGCCTTGAAGGCTGGAGTAGTGCAGCTGCCAGTGGGAATGCAGCAGCCACCAGAAGACAGAGGAAGGAAGGCTCCTCCCTGGAGCTGCCCTGCCAACACCTGAACCTCACCCAGTAATGCACAGGATTTATCCAGAAGCCCCAGCCCCCAGGCCTGTGAGAGGTGAGTCTGTGGCCTTTCGCCATCCAGGGACAGAGGCTGATCCCGAGCCTGTGTGCCACCTCCACAGGGCCCAGCTCAGTGGAAGGAAGGCCTGGCCAGTCGGGTGGCGTCCTGTTTGGAAGTGAACCGAGCTCAGGGCAGTGGGAGCAGGTGAACCACGTGTACATCAGAGGCCACGTGCTAGACCATGAGCTCCCAGCACAGCACCACTCACCCCACAGAGCCTCAGGCAACACTCCCTCATCTGGCCCAGCCCAGGCTCTGAGGACCTTGCAGGCAGGATGCCCTCCTCAGCCAGGCATGCCCCTCCTCCTGGACCCGTCCTTCCTACTGGCCCGCACCCAGCATGAAGTCTGGTGGTGGCTCTGCCGGGCTCACTTGGAGCCCTCAGAGGACAGCGAAAGGCAGGGAGGCAGATAAAGTGTGTGCACACACGCACGTTCCAGCTCGGGCTGGGGCACCAGACATTAGCCATGGCAGATTCGAAATCTCAAAAAGTAGTGCTGGTGGTGATGATGTTGGTGGTGGTGACGAGGGTGATCATCGCGGTGATAACAGTGATGGCGGTGGTGACCCTGTTAGTGGTGACAGTGGGGACGGCTCCGGTGATGGGAGTAATAGTGATGGCAGTGATGCTGAGGATGAGGTGCTGAGGATGGTGGTGGGCGGTGGCGGTGGGTAATGGTGATGGCGGTGGTAGCAATGACAGGTGAAGCACAAAGGAGCACTCTCTCTGCCTGGTACTGTGCTGTCCCCTTTAGGACCACTTCCTTTCTCTTAATTCTCAAAAAGCACTCTGTGAGGTAATATCATTCTCAATTTTCTTTCTCCTTTCATTGTTTTTTTGTTGATGTTTTTTAAGGTGGGGGTTTTGCTAGGTTGCCCAAGCTGGACTTGAGCTCCTAGGCTCAGGTAATCATCCTGTCTCTGCCTCCTAAGAAGCTGAGGCTACAGGTGTGTACCACCATACCTGGCTTTCATTCTCAGTTTTCTAATAGGAATCAAGGAGACTAAATAATGGTTCCAGGGCCAAACAAGGGTCCCCGCCTTGCAAGTGGTGAAACCAGGACTCTAACGTGGGTGCTCTAGCTTCGTGGCCCCTGCATCACATCAGCCACCAAAGACCCTGAGCAAGGAAGGGTCAGACACCCTTCTGCTTGGCTGGCTGGGGTGGCCATGGAGTCAGGCCACAGAGCCCTCTTCCCCTTCCACCTGATCAGGACTGCCGGCCCATGGGATGGCTGTGGGGGGTGGGAAAGCAGGAGGAGAATTACACCGGGAGCTGTAGAAGGTTCCCCGCGTGTGTAGCGTGCCAGGACCTGATCTCAACCTACCCCATCCTGGGGGCCTCAGGCAGCTGAACCCTAACTCACAGGAAGGGGCCAGGGCCCCAGATAGTCCAGGGGGACAGGACTGTTTCCTAAAGCTGAAGCTGAGGTCAGTAACAAATTGGACCTCTCACATGGAAAATCTGGTTGGAGATTTTGGCAGAGGTCCGGAAGTCCCAGGCAATAATGGTGCGGTCCGCAGAGTCCCGGGTGGAAGCGTCCGTGCTGCTCAGGAACTCGGAGCCCTCCTGCAGGAAGAGGATGTCCAGGGTCTGCTGGATGGTCGCCTTGTAGCCTCTCACCACCTGCAGGAGGGGACACCGTCACACTAGCAGGCCCAGGGAAGGCGCTAAGGAAGGGCCCACCCTCGCCCTGGGGCCCTGTGGAGCAGAGCTCCATCACAGGCGCCACATGGGTGAAAGGGGCTGATGCTTACAAAATTCACAGCTCACAGAGTCCCAGACTGTTGTCCCTGGAGAAGCAACCTTCCTGGAGACAAGCCAAAAAGCCAGAATTGCAGCACATATTTTGTCATTAAAGATACTTTTTATTTCTGAGCAGCAGGACCAGTATTTCATAGCTTCCTGTCTCCTAAGCCACCAGCAGAAGTAGCCAGCCATTGCTCACCTTCTTCAGAGCCGCTGATCACCAACGACTTCTGCTCTGAAACACCCAGTTTGGGCAGGGAGTGGGGACTAACGACGAGCTCCAGTTAACAAACTCAGGGGTGACTTGGGATCCAATGGCAGTGCTGTGCCCACTGAGCGATGACACAAGTGTGGCCAGGTCTTGGTGCCCACTGGGCCCCCACCCACAGGGTTCCCAGCTTCCAGGGCACCCACCACATGGCTGCAGCAAGTCCCATGACCCGCCAGCTAGGACATGAGCCCTCTTGACAAATTTTTCGGGTTTTTTTTTTTTTGTTCGATCCGCCAGGGATCGAACTCCAGTCCTTGAGCTTGCGCAGCAGGCGTCGAAACCACTGAGCTAAATCCCCGGCCCTTGACAAATTTCTTAAAAGAAAAAAAAAAAGGTATTTACATCTTTCAGATTCTCAGACTACTATTTTCTACCAGCCTCTTTCAAATATGTTGCCAGAGCTGCATGAAATACAGTGCTCTATAGACCTCGTTGAGACCCAGTCACCGGATGAGGTACACTGAGCTAGGAGACTGGAAGCAATTTGTCCAAGATCACACAGCAGCCAGGATGTGGTGAAGCCTCTCCGTGCCCACCTCCCTCCCTGAGCCCCATAATCAACCTCCTGCTGGTCGCATCTTGCCTCTGCCAACTCTTGGAGCTGAGCAACATATGAGTACTCTTCTGTGAGCCTCTTCACGGGCAGCTCCCTGAGCCTGGGCATGGCCAGGGCCAAAAAGAGAGCCAGCCCTGCAGGCCCCTGAACACAGGACAGGAGCCAGCTGCCACTGCCAGGCCCCTTACCTGGCACAGCACCAGGTGGCACTGGGCGGGCTGGGGGAAAGAGCCTTCTGGCCTGGAGCCACTGCACTTCTGACGACAGTGCCACCCCAATGCGGCATCTGCAATCTGCTTAGCAGGAAAGGAAGCTAAGGAGCAAGACCCTGAACAATCCAGTCCCTGGCTCCAGCGCCACACGCTGCTCTGTCCCCAGAGCTGGTCCCGTCTCATCTCACTTCACCTCCCTCCCCACAGCCACTCAGGACCTCCACTTCCTAGGCCATGTCCGTCTGGATCAAGCTCCCTACCTAGCCCCCAAGCCCTCCCCATTGTCCCTCTCACGCTGGGGGCTGGGGCACCAAGTGCCAAGAGAGGAGTAAGTATGGGCCGATATTTGTCCCTGGATGTGCCCAAGCACTGAGGCACTTCTCCTGGGGAACACAGGGCAGCCCCCGAACATGGCTGTAGGCAGCACCCACATGTGACAGGCAGTTCCCAGCTTTCCCTCGGGACCATGAGCTCCTGAGTGGCCTTTAATGCCACAGCCTGCTGGCTGGGCACCTCAGCCCTGCAGTGCCTGGTCCAGGAAGGGACAAAGAGAACTGGGAGCCTTCCTGCCACTCGATGCATTAGGACCACAGGCGGAGGTAGCCTTCCCCACAGGAGGTGGGGAAGTCTGAGAGAAGCAGCATCCCAAGGTTCCCGGCCTGATAACAGCAGATCTACTGCCTGGCCCCAAGACAAACATCTTGGAGAATTCCTCAGCATAGATGGAGATGGCCCGGTTCATTAGAATGCTATAAAAGTGAAGGGCCAGGCACATCCACCAGCCACCAGCATAGCTAGCAGGCAGAGCGCCCTGGGCTGACTGGAGCCCCGCTCTGTCCAGCTCACCATGCCCACTTGCAACCAGGCACTGGAGCCAGTGAGGACCCTCCCCCGGGCACGCCCACCAGCTGTCAGCGTAGCCACACGGGCACCTGCAACAACAGCACCCCCCCCCGCCCCCAGCCTCTGGCCTCTTTTCTGTGCAGCTACCTGGTTCCACACTACAGAGGCACAGGGGAACACAAAGGCCATTGTCCTGAGCCTCAGAAGTGAACAACAGACAGAGGGGGTCTCTCAGGCTCCCTGATGAAAACTGAAACCCACTGGAAAAGTGAAGAGAATCTCTGCAATAAAGGCGCACCAGACCACCGTGCTTGGTAAGTTGGAGGGATCATCACCTCCCATCGGAACCTGAACTATCTTCAGGGGAAGGGCAGCTGAATCTGCAGTAGAACCTTGCACAGTTCAAGCCTGCAAGAGGACAAGGAGCTCAACTTGGGACTTGCAGCCAGAAATCTGCCTGAATCTCACGGGTCTGTGACTGGCTTACTGAGACTCATTGACTTATAACTGCACACTGCTGCTCACGTTGTCTATTGTGACAGCAGAGACATACCCTGAAGGAGGCCCTACATTTTTATCTTTTGTTATTTTCAAAATCACCACTATTTTTTTTGCTCTTTTTAAAAAATTTTTTTCTTCTTTTTCTACTCTAATTTTTATTTTTCTCTTCTTTCTTTCTTTTCCCTTTTCTTTCTCTCTCTCTCTCCCTTGCTCCCTTGCTGTCCCATGTTGTTCTTCATCTCCTTTTGTGTTCCTGTCCTTGCATTAATTTGTATTTCTTCTTTATTTTTCTTTTCTTCTCTTTCCTTCTCTCACCTGTGTCCTCTGGCCTCACTGTTAACCTTGCCCAATCCTTCTACTCACCTATTCCTCCCTCCCCAACTCCTTCTAACTCCCCATTCCGAAGGGTAAAGTTGCTATATTGAAGAGTTTATTCACCATAAACATGTTAGGTTGGTCCTTGATTTTGATTTAATTCACACAGTTAAAGGTGATAGATTAATAACCACCACAAATTGTCATTTTCTAAGAGGTACTTGATGCTGCTGTGTTGCTAATTGTATCACTTGGGCTAAGGTGTTGTGATTGATCTAATCAGTTGTCCTTCCTGGTATAATGAAAATGAGACAGGCTCAGAGCTATTAGAGACTCAAACCTAAAGACCAGCTATATCTGGAAGACACCTCTGAGAAGCAATCATTCAATAAGGGTTCTAAATACATCAACAAAGATACTTACAATAAGCAACTTCAAAGTAGCAACCCAGGAACTAAACCAAGGGCAGTACCAAAGACAAAAATGAGAAGACATTTAAGTAAGGGACAAACTCAGACTTCCACCCCACAAAAGGCAAATTCTGGGCAAAACAAGGTGGAAAAGTCTGATAATCAACCACCTGGACACCCTGATCTGATAGCACAGGAAGTAACAAAACAGATGAATGAGGCTCTAGAAAAATTCAAAAC